CCTGCTTTAGCCTCCCAAGTCACTGGGATTACAGGTGTGTGCCGCTTTGCCAAGCTATAAAAAAAGTTTTATATATATATATATATATATATATATATATAATTTAAGGCTTTTTATGTTTGATTGCGATGTAGGTCTTTGGCTTCAATTCAATATTATTTTAGTTAAATTTTTCATATTTTTAGTTTTCTGTTTTTCCTCTCTCAGGTTATTGTCTCTCTTATTTTTGAAAAGAAGGGTTTGGCAACTAATTATTGAATAAAATCTACTGGTCAAAAACCAACCAGCATATTTTTACACATTGATAATTGGTTTATGTTACTTTTTGATTTCAGCTTTCAGTGTATTACTATTCATATAGTTAAGCTTAAATGGAATGACTCACTCAAGGTGCATGCCTGTCTATACTTTGGAGACCTAATTGAGGTGATCTTAGCCATGAGAATAGAATTGGGCCTCTGCTGGGAGCTGAGTCCAAATTAGGTATTAACCTAATTGAAATTCAATCCAAATTAGGTATTAGGTCCAAATATTTTTCTGAATAGCAGATCTATAACTATCATCAGATTTTCCAAGGGGTCCATGATCTTAAAAAAATTAGGAAGAGTTAATTTACTACCTCCTTATTTTTCTTGCTGTCTCCTACTCCAGCACAAATATTTCCCTCATCTCTAACTAAACAATGATAAAAGTACAAGTTCTAATGTACTTATTTCATTTCCTAATTTAGAAGATGTCATGTTCATAAATGTATATGAAAATATCCTTCAAACTAGGGATACCCATACGGAAAACATTATTTGCACCCATGCCTAACATAACCAGTTATATTTACTTCATAAATTCAACTATAGACAAACCTAAGGAAATGGCATTTTAACATTATAAAGTATCATTACCTAAGTCTATAGATCATTAAATCTTTGGGCTGTTACACCACTATTATTGTCATGTCCATGTCCATATAAATCACTTTCTAACAATACAATCTCAGAAAAAGAAAAAAAAATTGTTTTTATCATGTTTGTTCAACTATAACCATGTCCATAGATATTTATCTGTTTTTCTTACAGTACAACAAGATCTCCTGCAGGACACAGTATTAAATCATAAACATCTAAACAGGGTTTGTGTGTGTGTGTGCGCGCATTTGAAAAGGTTGTAAATATTCTTCTAGCCATAATTAATAAAATGCTTTTTTAAAAGGGGAATGAGTATTATTACTCTCATTTTCTAAGTATTTTAATAGTTTAAAAATCAAATTATTTGTTAAAAATCAAAGATTACTTATTTTGTAATTTTGAACTTGATATAGTTCTGATAACTTTATTAAATGAATTACTCATTGCTTTTTTTTTGAAATTAAAGAGAGATGTTCTCATAGGTGACATTGTTAAACAGGACACCTGCTCTACACATATAAGCCTAGTGTAGGGTGTAGCACTCAGCATTATTGATTTATGTGGAACACCCATCAAATAATTAACTCATTTAGTGTCTGATTCAGCAAAACAAAACAAAAAGCATTGAAAGTGAAAAGAGCACAGGATTACGGAAAAGTAAAATACTTGAAAATGTGACAATTGTGTAACTTTAAGTTTACTGTAGCTAGCTCATTAGTCACTTTGGAAGCACACTGGCATGAAAGGAAGTTTCAATACCAGGCACTGAAACTGTAGTAAAATATCGCCCTCCCCCCCCCCCCCCAAAAAAAAGCAAAAACAAAAACAAAACCCCAACTCCCCCCAAAACAACAACAAACACAAAACCAATAGTGCAGCTTATATATGTTTTTAAAATAATATTGCACAGTTTTTAAAATAGTTTTTGATATGTCCCCTGCTCATATAAAAGGAAAAAAAAAGTTGCACAGGAAGATCCACAAACAAAATCTTTTTTAAAAAATATATATAATTCCATTGCTTTATAAACAGACTTACCTGCTTTAGGAATCACCCAGGAGTATCAGTACAAGAATACCACATATATACATAGAACCGTGACTATAAAATTATCACTTGATGAGTGGTTATTTCACAGTTAAATTGATTGTACTAATATTTATAAACATCAACATATTCAGTAGAGATTTCAATATTTGTGACCTCCTAATTCTGAAGTGAAGGAACATGCAAATAGATAAATACCGACAACTTAGTGGGGACAATGAACACAAACAGGGTGAGGTTCATCAAGTTAGAATCCTATTGAAGATCATATAAGCCAACTGTGCTTTTAGGGAATCTTTGGTTTCTTTTTAACACGACCAAAGTAAACGACAGAGAACTTTGCATTTGGGGCAGACACTGGGCTTACTCAATGTTAATGACTGGGCTCCCTAGCAACAGAGGGCAAGATTTCTGACAAAATTAACTTACAGAGAACAAACTGACTCTTATTCTCTCACCTATACACCACACACACACACACACACACACACACACACACACACACACACACACGAAGTTACTTAAGTCTTATTTCAGATCACTTAGCAATCTTTCAGGCAAAGAAAAAAAAAGCCAACTGTCTAAAATTGTTGCAGAGCCATCACTGGTGGGGCAGGGCAAGGAGATCGGTCTGGAGCAGAAATAAGTTGGGAGAAGAGGCGGTTTAGGATTCTTGTGATGGAAGGTGGTGGGAGTTGGAGATAGGAGGCCGTGGTGTTGGAGGTGGGAGATCTTGGGAGAATGGCTGAACCAGGGATGAGGGAGTCTAGCAATGAAGGTGTTAGTTTAGGAGGCTGGAAGAAAAGGAAACACTAGGAATTTGGGGAACTGAAGGCTAAGTGGTGGATGGCGACCCTTCTTTTTACCTGCTGTACTTCTCCGGGACCCGGAGTGCAAACAGCCAAGGCATTTCCCTTCATTCCAGATGGGGTGAGACCAGTGTCTTCTCCCCAGACAGCGGGCTTCAGCTCTGTCATCCTTCCTCAGCGACCGCTGCAACAACTCTGCTCCTGGGTAGGGAAGCAGCAACCCCGAGCCGAGCCGCAGGCGCCCACATTCCGGACTGGGTTCCGGGCGCAGCTGGCCAGGGCGCGAAAAGAGGTGGGGGCCAGGGACCCCTGCCGCCAGGCTAACGCCGGGGCTACTGCGCCACTGCCGGTGCAGCCCCCAGCCCAGGTGAGACCCTGGCACTGACAGCAGGATGAACACCTGCACCCCTCTCGCCGGGTCACTGAGCCCGGACACATTGGGTGCTCCTGGGGACTTAACGCGCCCCTCCGCCGCCTTGGAACACCCGCAGGTCCCCACACTGTACACCCCTCCAGACGTTCCCCAGAGCACCCCTCCCAAATCTCCTGCAACCTTCTCGTTCACTGCACGACCGCCCTCTCCACCCCTGGGTCCCTCCAAGACCACCACCGCGCGCCCCTGCAGATACCGGAGGTGCAGCCCTCCAAATTCCCTTCCCGCGACTGGCCGCCCCCAGCCGGTCCAGGACTCCAAATGCTCCTCTAAGTCCCTTAGAGTGTGCCCTTCCAGCACATCGGAGCCTTTCTACTGCCTGTGCGCACGCCTCCATTTCCACCAGACGCCCCTAGCTCCCAAGTCCCCAAACCGCATCCCTTGGAACTCCCTTTAGGATACGCTCCCGCCCCAGCCCCACCCGGCTTCTCCACCCTCAGTGCTCCGCTCGCTGTCGAGGAAGTGTGCGGGTCGCTGGGCAGCGACACTTCTCAACGATTGCAGCTCCCGCTACCAAGCTTACTTAGGTCGCCTTCTACCCATCTCTATTTACAAGTCCCATTGAGGCTGCCTACATGCGTCGTGGGCTTGGAGCGAGGGTGCCCAGTTACCGATTTTCCCACCTGGTCCCTTATGACCTGAAAAGTCAGCACCTCCCTATTCTGTGGCGTTTGGGGAAGTCCCTAGAGGAGAGGGACATTTCCATTTCCGAGGTGCTGAAGTCTCTCCACTCAGCCTGTTATTTGAGAACCCCTCGGGCCCCAGAAGCAGTTTACTCTGATTATCAAGTTCCTAGGAAGCAAGGTCCTTGTCCTGCCGCCAGGAGGCACCCCTCGCGTTTTGCCGAGATGGCTGTGGCAGAAATAAGGTCGCACGTTCTTTAGTTCTTTGACTTGGACTCGGACTTCGGGAGTGCTGACCGTAAGTTCTGCGAAGCCGCTTCACTATGATTTTGCCCAGCTATGGAAAGATTCTCCCAACTCCGATTATATGACACAGTTCCCCAAGTAGTGCTTGTGTATTTCAGTCATTTCTTTACTCGCTGACTTACGCACGCATCATCACAGGAGAACGACTTGTTTTAGCAGCTTCATGTGAAAAGGGCATTTGAAGATGTTTGACGAGTGTGCTGAGGAGGCAGATTATTGAAAAAAATTCCAGGAAGGATCGTGCTAGTGGATTTTATAATTTTGTAAAATGGAAAAAATGCTACCATTTTGGAGTTAAGTGGAAACATAAATTTGCTGGGGACTATTAGAAACGTTTTTCGTGTAACAGAATGGAACATTGAGAGGCAGAAATATTTACAACTTTTAGATTACACTTTTTTTTTTTAGAGCAAACTTTTTCAAAGGTAAGAATAAAAATCGGGAAAGTCAATTTCCCAGAAAAGTTCTATGGAATTCTTTCCTAATTGCTTCTCCACCTAATAGATGATAGTGATGACCCTTTTTCAGAAACTTGCTCTTCACAAGATAAATAAAATAGATGTAGAGATAAATTCTTAAGAATATATTACTACTTTTCTACATATTACATAGGAAACATGATGACAAAAATTGTGATTTATTACTCTGAAAACATCCACACTAATCAGTAAATGTTGTAGTTTATATATTTATGTCAAGGAATTTAAAAGTTTTAAGGTTATTCAAAACTAACATGATCTCAGAGCCAGAGTTTTTTTTTTGGGGGGGGGGCTAGCTTAAAAGAAACAACTGGCAACAGTTCCATGCAGCCGATGGTGAGAACTCTGGGGATCCGGAGCACTAGCTATGATTCCTGTGATGGAAAAGCTAAAGATACTCAAATTGCTGTGTGGTAAGAAAAAAAAAATGGGTGTTATATACAAGGTGTGAAGTCTGCAGACTGTTTTGATTGAGCACCTTACTGATAAAAATAATTCTAAGCAGAACATGTGGGTTTGTAAATTGCATGCATTGATGAATATGTTGAAATATATGTGCATGATATCAAGCTATTGTTCACAGTAGAAAACAGGTACACACTTCAAAAGGAAAGATAAAAGCACATTTAAATAGGAAAAGCGTTGGCATGTTGATATGAAGATCTCTGCAGAGGCTTTCCCCAATGAAACAATCATACCTGGTGAAACCTATTAAAAAACAATCATTTAAAGTCTATGGAAATCATCCTAAGGGCACACAGCTAGTAGGGAAGTATTTATTCTTGAAAATCTACTAAATCTTGATAAGAACAGTGAGCTTGTAGCATTTGAACTAGGACTCACTCTCTCCCCCAGCCCCAAGATCAGTATGATGGAAGCTCTACTACGAGCAAGCATAGCTAAGAAGATGGACTGTCTCTCCCCCAGTTCCTAGGACAGATTTTTGGTTTCTCTAGGGGATGGAAGGCCTCCAGCATTCTTACTCCCAGTCTACAACCTTTATACCAAGCAAGTGTGGAACAGAGATCTTAGCTCTATCCAGCCATCACTACCACTGTACCAGGTTACGAAGGGCTATCAGGTTAAGAATCAAGTCATCCTCTGCCTTAGCTCCTGCAGGTGGAAAAGATCAAGGGTTTCTGTCCTGCTTGGAAAGCAAGAATGTCACTCTAAGAGAAGCAGGTTGTTCTACTTTCCCAGTTTTGAAATAGTGGGGCAAAGATTCTGCCCACAGGGAGACACACGCTGTCAAAATAGAGAACTTTATGGCTCTCTCTAGAAAGACTAATTTTATTTGGAGTAGAGAGCATGGAGAAGTTCATGCCCAAGGACACTGTCAAAAACAATAGAGATCTGGGTGATAAGCAATTAATAGGAGGCTGGTTGTTCCACTAGAAAAAAGCTAAACAGTAGACAGCTAGAAATTTATGTGAGAGGATCGGGAAGAAGAGTCGTGCTGAACTTAGAGAGAGCCTCAAGGAGTGGCCTGGAAGACTATCCCTGAAAAAAGGTTAGACTATAATTAGATCCATCTATAGAAGAGTTTATGCCTCAGTTGTCAAGGATAATAAGCAATCAGCTTGCAATTAGTGGGGCCTGAGAACTAGGTATGATGCTAATAGAGGAGGCCAGTCAGAAATTTACCAGGAAAATTAGGGAAAGGTCAAGTCAAAGAGAACCCAGCAAAAACCACAGTTATCATAGGAAGGAGTGGTCAGGAGTATTGTATGCATGCCTGAGGATGCGTCACATGAGGGGTGCATCTTACTGGCTGCTGACAGAGGAGGAAATAGACCTTCTTGAGTCCAGCAGAGTCATTAAACAGAAAGGCAAGTAAACACATAATGAAAAATAGGAAGGGGGTAGGAAGGATCAGAATCTAGGGTTGCTATATAATGTAAAATGTCCAGTTTGCAAGAAAAAATGATAAAATACGAAAACTAACAAATAAGTCTGCAAAACATAAAATTTAACCCAAACACAGGAGACAAAGCATGTTTTTGAGATGTTGGACTGAGTGCATGAAGACTTCAAAGCAGCTATTTTAAATATGTTGACAGAACTAAAGGAAACCATGACTAGGAGTCCACAGGAATGTATGATCACCATATCACACCAAATAGAGAATATCAATAGGTTGAAAATATAAAAAAGGGCAAAATGGGAATTCTGGAATTGACAAGTATGCTAACCAAAATGGAAGATTCATTAGGAAGCTTGGTTGTATATTTTGACTGACAGAAGAAAGAATAAATGATCCTGAAGACAAACTGCTAGAAATTATGCCATCAAATAACAGTAAGAAAAAAATAACAGGGGAAAAAATGAAGAAAGCTCCAGAGATTTGTAGGGCACCATGAAGCACACAAGCAGATACACAACAGAAGTATTTGAAGAAGAAGAAGAGAGAAAGAAAAAACATCTTAACGGCTGAAAACTCTCCATTTTTGATGAAAACCATTAATTCCATATCCAATGAGTTTAATAGACAATTAAGATAAGCACAAATACATCATAGTCAAAATGGTGAAAGCCAAACATGAAGAAAATCCTAAAAGTAGCAAGAGAAAAATGAGTCACCAGGTACAATGGAATTCCGGTAAGATTAAAATCATGAAGTCCAGAATGCAAAGAGATGATGTATTTTAAAGAAAAAAGAAAAAGAAAATGGGTTTGTCAATCAAGAAAAATAATTTTTCAAAAATGAAGGCAGAATTTTTTCCAAACAAAATCTAGTAGATCCACCTTTCAAGATATATTAAAGTACTTCTTCAGGCTTCATGTATAATTCAAATACACACACACACACACACACACACACACACACACACACACACACCACTACCACCAGTAGATTAATTATGTGGATAATCATAAAAGCAGTACAATTGTATATCTCTTCTTCTTTCTTCCTTGTTATATAGTTGATTTACAGTTCAATTGCATAATACAATATTCATATAATTGTATTTTTGAACCCAAAACATAGAAATGCAATATATTTGATAATAAGAGCACAAAGGAGATAGGTGGGAGATAAATACTTTGAGGTAAATGAAAACAATATATAAAAACATAGAGTGCAGTTGAAGCAGTTTTTAGAAGAGAATATTTTTAGTCACAAAATCTTATATTGGCGAAAAAAATCTCAAATCTATAACTTAAACTTTTACATTAAGAAATTTTAAAAAGCAAAATGACCATAAAGTAGGTGAAAAGAAGGGAGTAGTATTAGAAATAAGCCAGGTGGGGTGGCACATGCCTTTAATCTTAGTGGCTCAGGAGGCTGAGGCAGAAGCCTCGAGAGTTCAAAGCCAGCCTCAGCAATGGTGAGGCACTAAGCAACTCAATGAGACCCTGACTCTAAAACACACACACACACACACACACACACACACACACACAAAATGGGGCTGAGTTCAATCCCCAGTATCCCCACCACACACACACACACACAAAGAAAGA